TTTTACATTTGACCTTATCTAAGTCATGTGATTATATGTTTGAATTTGATTGGTCTATTAAATTTTGCGCCTAATTTTTCAATTTGAAATCAAATCTGATTGGCCCAGATCATTTATCAAAGTCATGTGATTTATAAACTTTGAATTTGATTGGTTTGCTCATTGATGCGCTTATATTCTTTCAATTTCAAATCAAACATAGTATTTTGTTCCTGTATACAATAAGTTCCAAGATAGCTAGCGATATGAATATACTAAGTAATATCACAAATGTGGAGTATTTTAATAGAAAGAGACTTTCAAATGGAGAAGTAAAATCATACAAATATGTTAGAAAACCTCGAAAATCCATTGACTACAATTTTGACAATGATTCACAAAAGTTGGCATTTGATGAAAAATATGAAGGCCTAAAGAGGAAAATGAAAGTAAAATCTAATGTGGACATTTTGAACATTTTGATGGACTTTTACAATCAGAACTGTTCAACTCCAAAGCTGGAAGAAAGAATAAAACCAATTGATAATAGTGGACAGGATGACCAAGACCTTTTTGTTTGCTCAAAACAGAAACTGTTTGAACTGGTACGTCTATCACAGTGGTATGGTCCCCTTGAACCGGCCGAAATGACAAAAATTGGACACGTTGCCAGACTAGTTGTTAAACCAGTTAAAACCACATCTCTTCCGATTTTCTGGCATTCCTCCTCCGCACTGAAGCAGGACTTTACAGTGAATTACAAGTTGATTCATTCTTATCTCTGTGCTGGGATGTTTCCTGCCCAATACGAACGATTTAGTAGTTTTGCTAACATTGGACTTCCACAGAAACGATTCCGTGAAAAAATGTTTCCAACATAAGACAGGTGGTGATTTCGCTTCGGGACAAGAGCATTGATGATGCTTTAAAAGAGGAAAAAAATAAAAATTCTTACAGTGATAATAAACTTGACATTATGACAGATGCAAGACATGCATGCAGAAAGAACAGTTTTCACACTGATGTAACAGCTCTGGGAAACTTGACTCATAAAGTAGTAGGATATAGTCACGTTACTAAGAACCAGGAAAGGAGTTCCCAGAAACATGAAACTTATGGAACAGAAAAGCTATACGAAGATTTCGAAAGGAAAAGGATAAAAGTGAAAGTTCATTCGCATGATAGAAATGCATCTGTCAGTAAATATCTGAGCCAAAACCAACCAGATGTAATTGATTCCTATGACACTTGGCATGGTGCAAAGGAGGTGCGCAGGAATATGGCAAAAATTACAAAGGGGAGAAGGAAAAACATCGGAAAGACATGGCATCCGGAACTAAGAGACAAATCCGCTGGTGTTAAAACCCATGTTTACTGGGCAATGAAGAACTGTAATGGCAATGCTGCTCAATTAGTGCTCTTGCTTGATTCCATTGTGGACCACTACAAACAAGATCATAGGAACTGTCATCAAACATCTAGATGCAAAAATAATGACTATGTGCCATCACGAGACATTATTCGGGATCCAACAGCAGAGTTGTTGCTAAGGAACAGTATTAAAAACCTTTATATTTATAAGCATCCAGAAAAGTATACACATTGTCGTGACACTCATTATATTGAGAGTTATCATAATACAATTCTTATACATGTGGATAAAAGGTTACATTATCATAATTTAATGTATGAAATTAAGTTGGGACTATCAATACTTGATTGGAATGAACATGTTGATAGACCTGCTTCATCTGTACAACACCGTGTGCAACATGACCATCCACGTCGACAATCTGGATATCGGGTTTTGACACCAAAACAATATACTTTTACAGATGAATTATGGAATAACTTTGTAAATCTGTTATATCATGACCGCAATGACCAAATTGAGCCTGATGACGTTGAAAATGTACAAATAGACCAAAATGATACAATTGGTAGTGAATATGAAGATTCAGATGATGATTAGTAAACTGTGATATATCTTTATGTATAATTTATTAGTATAATTAAATTATTGTGTGTGCATTTTTGTCTTCTTTGTTAATTGAAAAAACAAAATATTGATCCCAAAATTTTTAATTGCAAACACTTATGAAACACAAAAAATAAGATGATTTCACACAATACTGTAAACTCTGAAAATGTAGATAAAAAATACAAATTTAGATGCATAACACACTAACATGTGATGATGCTCAAGGCCAAAATGATGATTTAATCAACCATTACCTAAATTATTGAAGACCAAATAAAAAACTGTCTAAGGACAAAGTTATGCAGGGGGAGATTCTCCTTATTTTCCCATGAAATTTGAATAAATTCAACAACAAAGAAACAGGTTTCGATTTTGATAAACTTTCAAACATTTACTGTGAAAACATTAAAAAATTTGAATTTACAGAATGATGCATAGACATTAAACTTTAAAATATCAATTATTTATCCAAAGAATGGACTTACATTCTACACAGGTATACAGAGAGTTTATCCCATAGTATAACTTCAAAAGATAATTATGTGTAAAACGCTCTACAGTAGAAATGTCTTTATTGAAACTTTACACACATTTGTTTTGGTAACATTCCACTTCAACATTTGTAGCTGTACCTAAATGACTGCCATTAATAACCTTTAACAAGACAGATACTGTATTACCCCACTTTCACTATCAGCTGGAGATGGCAAGTAACTTGTGATAAAACTTGGACACTGACAGCTATGTTCTTGGGGTTTAAAGCATGTCACTCCATTGTAGTATCTATTCCCCGCATGAAGAGATAATTCTCGTATTACACATTAATAAATATGAATAAGTGACACCACAAATGCGTTAATTTGATTGGCCTATACGGCAGTGTGTAACGAAATTGCTATTTGGTTATTCGTTAGGTTAACTATCGTGACTTGCAAAGACCAATTCGAACTACACTTCACCTCTGGCAGCGAAGATTTATGATTTTTGGAATAATAAATAAACACTCACATGTATTCCCTGGTTTTGCCAAAGATTCTATTCTAAATCGTACAAAAAGCTTTAAAATGTCTGATGTTCATGTTTGACACCGGTAGCAGATTTATGACGTCATACTGTCATTCAAAATAAAAGTAAAATTTTCGCGGAATTTCCTTTTTTTACACAGAAACATTTTTGCCATAAGAGAATTAGGTTTAAGAACTCGTGAGAAATGGATAATGATAAACGTTATAAAACCTATTAATGTCTTTAACAATTTAACATTTCTGTTATAGATTTAAATGAAGAGATACAGAGATACAGTAGTCAAATTAATCTCAGTTCCATTTCTACCCTGTTTTCGTGATGAATCTATTGTGATTCTTATCTAAATGTTCGTTGACCAATATATTGTGCGTTATCTAGGAGTTATCTTGAATAACTATATACCCATAATGGGACGGACGGACGGACAGGGGTAAAACAATACCCCCCCCCCCCCCCCAACTTTGAGTTGCGGGGACATAAAATAGAGAATAATGGGGTTCTGAAATATAAAGAATTGTTCGATTCTTAATACTGCCTCTTATATGGTTACTCTACGTTTGCTCTAGAAAGTTTTACCTCATATATTTAAAAGTTTAATCGCCAATAATTGACTTAATTTTTATTCACTTCAATTCATCTTGGTCAATTTTAGAGTGCAAGCAAGGAACAAACAATGAATATACATGGACGTGATTCTTAAATTGGACCAATTGTTTGAACAGTAAATTCACAAGTGATTGTACCGATGCTTTGCTTTTGTGCCAATTGGCATTTCATTTGCCCAAAAAAATATTTCATTTGCGCCAAAAAAATATTTCATCTGCGCCACAAACCATATTTCATTTGCGCCAAAATAATACATTTCACTTGCGCAAATAATACAGGTAAATAGTATAAATAAAAGAACTATATTCAAAAGAGACTTTTAATAAAAATGTTACAACATAGTTTTTTAAATGCCGAGATTGTACTTTTTGCTGGTCTAAACCATGGTTGACTGTATCATTCAATGTTATAATGGTTTTGTAGTCCACATCTGTTGTGATTCTGGTTTTTTAGTTATCCTAAATGCGAGGTCTTAAACATTACGGACGTATTTTCTCATCTATTTGTCTCCGAATGAAGCATGTCCATTTTGTCCACGCGAACATGTGAACCTACACAATTTTAGACCTGTAAGTGACTCTCAGATTTTAATGAGATATGATTATGAAATAACTTTAAGTTTTTTACCCTACAAGGGGGAGGGGATAATCTACAACATTTCTTATACGAGCATTGTATTCAGGATACAACTTATATTAAAACGTTTTCGTTATATTTTACCTGTAAATTGGCGCAAAGGCAGTATTTATTTTTGGCGCAAATGAAAAACAACCCCGTGGCGCAAATGAAAGAATGCATTTTTCAAAAATTGGCGCAAATGCAATGCGCCCGTACAATAAATAAAAAAAAAATCCAATTTTCAAAATGATGTTATTCAAATGTCTACATGATCAATTACTTTTCAAATTTCAGGAAAGAAAGACTTTATGTCAGAAAAAGGTAGAATGTTAAAGTTGGTAAATTCTCGAAACAACACGTTTTTTGTTTAAGTTTTTTTAAAAGTTTTATACGCTTTTGTCTGACATTCTGACATTTTTTATCAGTTTACTAGGAACTATACCATTTTCAGGAAAACGTTTGGATGTGTGTCGTATTCTCATTATTTGTTTGGTCTATATGTACATAGAAAGTATTTTTGTCACCAGATCTTGAATCTGAAACTTAATATAGTAAGATATTTGAAAATCAAAGCTAACATTCTGCAACTTGTTATTGAAGCAAGTGAGTCTCCCGAGTGACCGAGGCATAAGTAATTTGTACAGTTTTGTTACTACATTATGTTTTTGCATAAAGCAAACTTAAAGGCTATAATCAATAATATGTTGGCATACACATTAAAAATGAATATTTATACAAAAGCAATAGCCAAGTAATCATTTTTGGTATATGTTGCAGCAACTTCACATACCTGGTGTAGAACTTCAACTATATCATTTTCCTCTAATGATAACTCGTCCTCGTTCTCTGCCGTGTAAGAATACAGTACTTTAACAAATGATCTCCTTTTTGGTGTTTCTGTTAATTACAAAGTTAATATATAACGATTTAACTTTCAATTGCCCAGACGTTAAGGATCTGACCAAGTAGGGATTTATAGAGTAAAATAAAAAACTAAGAAAACTAGTTCTCTTAAGATTTGTTACAGGAGTCGAAAAGAAAACCTGCTAAAACAATTGATTTGGATTTTACTTTCCTTTTGGGACTAATATGCTGAAGTATAATTATAGTTTGCTGTACTGGAAAATATATATAAAAAAAAAGATTATCGTTTATATTATCAAGAGGGTAGGTCTTGTAAGAAAAGTGCTTGGCACGATGTTCTGTCAAAAGTAGACCTGTCCATCGGTCTGGTTAGGAGTTGACCTATCCTCAGAATCGATCAAAGGCAGACCTGTCCATATGTTTTATCTGATCTGGAGAAGGCTTGTCCTTAGGACTTGTTAAAAGCAGACCATGTGACAGGTGTGGTCTGGAGCAGCCCTAAAAAGGCAGACCTAGGTCTGGTCTAAAACCGATAAAATTAACTTGCTTATTTGCTCAAAAGATATTAAGTTTACTTGAAAAACAGTCAAAATGCCTGCTCAAAATGAACTTTGAACAGGTTTTAACCGCACTCATCTGAATTTTAATTCGTACATTTATAATATTTTATGATTTTCGTATTCAAGCGTATTCAAGTGGCATATCATATCGTTTTTTTAACGTTAGAATTCTTTAAGTCATGTTGACACTGTCAAAGAGTATATATACATGCAGCTTAAAGTTGGAAACAATGTTACAATTTAACAGATTTTAGATTTTATATTGAAATAATATAATAGTGAAGTTTATGATTAAGAAAACTTACCGGCTATGTCTGTTTGTGTAATCTCTATTCTTCCAAGGATTTTGTCGCATTTTTCCTTTTCCAAGTTTCCGTCCTCGTACCGTATTTGGTAATTTCTCAGTTCTGATAGTTTAGGATTTTTAACCTGAGCTTTAATCATCTCAAAGTTTTCAAACGCTAATGTTGAATCATCTTGTTTTAACAGATTTTGGATTTGTGTTTCAACTTTATCCATTGAGCAAAGAAATTCTTTAGTTTCTGTTATATTTGCATCTAAATCTGTCACAAGATAACATTGATGGTGATCGAGTTGAGCAATCGAGCATCTAACCCACTCTTTTATCCAATCAACCAGCTCCTCTTCGCGTTTTTTCACCAATGAACGCTTTAATGAAACATCTACTATGCACTCCTGTTTCATGAATTCATATAATTTAACCTTTTCTTTATTTATTTTCCTTACCTCTTGAATTTCATTTGTGAATTCTTCAAATTTTTGCCGTTGGCGTTGCTTGATGGATTCAATATCACCAAACTTATGTGTGTTATGCTTTTCTAAAATGCAGTCCATGCAAATAAGCACATCACACGTTGAACAGTGAAGGGACAAACTTTTCCCATGAAATTTGCACATTTTTGAATTAATTCTGATACTTGGCCGTGGCAAAATTGACTTCGTTGAGAGAACCTCATGGTTTTCAGTTGCCGGAATATTTTCATGGGTCATTTTACATGTATCACACAACAAACGATTGCAGTCTATACATTTCCAACTGACCGCTTTTTGTTGCTTGCATATTTGGCAGCCAACATGCATTTGTGCTTTTCTTAATATCGTTTCCGCCATTTTGATTGATTTATCGGTAAATGGGTCTTGACTAGTGTGATTTGTGTTTATTTTACTACCTGGTGCGTTAATTCAGGTAAATGTTTAAAATTTATGTGTGTCTTATCATAACCGTATATATCGATTGTATGGAACGCCACAGCTGTCTTATGTGGAACTCTGATATTATACATTTATTTCCCGTGCCGGAGGGAGATATGAAGATTTGTTCACCCTAGAATATTCATATTTCACGAGGGCTCTGCCCGAAGGAAATATGATTTTTCGAGGGTGAGCAAATCTTCATATCTCCCGAGGCAAAGGGAAATGAATGTTTTATTCCACTGCCTATGCTTTGTTTACTATCAATACATTAAATATTATTTTGCATACATTTTTTTTCTTATCCGCTTGTTTTTGTAAGTCAAACTAAACACGACATACCCATTGATAAACAGTAAGGATCAAAATTTAATTTATAAGTCTTTTTGTTTTATCGTCTGAAATAAATTTGAACATGATAATGATTTTTGCTATCGCTATTTTAAGAAGAATAAAAAGTTCAAAACGTTATGTACATTAACCGCGCGTAACGTCGCACGAAGTTATCCCGACATTTCAGAGGGGAATTTGATCCTCAGAATGGAATATGAAGATTTGTTCAATGACACGTGGGATAGTCTCAACCAATCAAATATTGATTAAACTATCAATATGTTTAAACAGTGGAACAAGTTGCTTTCTTTAAAAAAAGAAATGCAATCGTAAACCCAAATGCTTGTTTGGCATTATATATAAGATAATTGTATAAAAAAAAAAGATTTATTGTTTTATATCATTTTTGTTATATAAGAATTAGAAACTGACAGTGACTGTTTACTTAAAGTAAATACTGTTCAATGTGGGGTGAAATATTCTTGTTAAAGGAATATTTTTTTCTCTCCTCTCTCCCAAAAGACATCATGTTAAGTCACCCACTTGATGTTCCATTCTAAGATGCTGGTTTTTGTTTTTAAATTAGAGTTAGTTTTTAGGCTAAAGTTCAAATGCAAATGTGAAGAAATTTAATCAATTAATGATTATATGTGTTTAAGAAATGCAATACGTGAACCTGTAAAATAGCCGTTTTTATTGGACTTTGAGATATGTTCATGGTTATTTGAACAATGGCTTGATATTGATCATTATTAAGATCCGTACACCTGCTCTGCAAGGTTTTTTTATGCTTAGGGTAGCAAGCATTGGCAATTTTAAGTTCTGTGCTTTGTGTATGTTCTTAAAAGTTTTAGATGACAAACCTCTTTTGTTAAAAACAAACACTTTAAAAACCTTTAACTCGCTTTGAAGATATTTTCCGGATGTTCCTTTTTATTTTGATGTTTTCTTATATTTTAAATTGTGGCTCATGAAAAAAGGCCTGCAAGTTTAATTGTGAATATATACAATTTGAATCGCACTGTATCCTCTTCACCTTGATGACCGAAACCAATTCATTAATCAAAGTACTGAAGTACTGAACATCAGAGGACCTCATGTTATGTTGGATTATTGATAAATGACAGGTGTTTATATAATACCTGCCAGACAGATGTTCACCTTACAATATAGTACACATAATATAATTTGCTATCATATCTGAGATACCGTCTTATAGTAAGAAACTTATTTTTGTGAATTATCCATGAAATGTTTACGTGGTCAAATGAGAACTGCTAGATTGGCATTAGGACCGTATAGTTGCACACATGCAAAAATCGTAAGCTTATTACTTATAACAGAGAATCAACATAGCAAATAATTTTTTGAGTAGTCACTGAATTATGAGAAAGAGGTCAAGACAATCATATTAAAACAGATAAATTGTAATATTTGGGTGAAAGATACCACACGAACAGCAAACTCATATATCGATAATAAGCTGACAATGCCATGTCTAAAACTGAAAAAGACAAATAAGAGTTCACTAGAAACAACATAGAAAACTAAAGCCTGAGCAACACGAACCCCACCAATAGTTGGGGTGATTTCAAGTGGTCTGAATGGGTAAGCAGATCCTGCTCTACATTTGGCAATTTATAAACAATGTATGTAGTATCCAGGTCTTCTATTTTATGAAACATTTTGTTTTCGAATCAATTGCTAATGTTTACACAGCAAGATTACTATATCTTATTCTTGCTTATTCCAGATTTTGTTGCAGTCGACACAAACTTTTTAAATGTTATAAATAGCTTCACTGAGTTATCTTTGTTTTATTGTAACACTTCATATCATTTATTTATTATGCGAAAAAAAATCAGCAGCTATAGGTTCTGTTTTTTAATTATTAGATGGTTCATTGTAAATATTACAATGTATTATATGAGGTAGATAGCCTTTCACTAATGATGGTATTATTGTTAATTGAATCTAACAACATCTGGATAGTTTTTCAAATGTTCGTTTTTTTTTACTTTGATCCGATTTAGTACTTTGACACCACTGGTTTTCACAATGAGATGATTTTGCACCATACATATAGATCACAGCTTCAATATGAATGCGTCGGTCCTTAGTAAGAGGCCTATAAAACAGGGCTTGTAATTCTTTGGTGTATATCTTTTGATTTTCTGTTTGTACATTGATGTGGCCATTAGTTTTCTGATTTATATTGTTTAATATTTGTCATTTCATGGCTATTTCTAACTGATTTTAGTATAGTTTTTTTCTGATTGTAAAGATGTTGTATGGTAAGCTTTATTTCTTTTTCATCATTTTGTTTCTGTGTCTGATTACCAATCATACCTCCCTTTTCGTGTCTCTTTTTTAAATAATGACAACAGTTTGGTTTCAATTTTCATTTATATATGTAATAATATAAAACAATATAAAACAGTATATATACAATCTCATTACATCATTAATATTGGTCATTGTTGGAATATATTCATCTTTAACAATGTACTGTTAAAGTGCTATTTTCTAACAGGTACTTAGTATTATGGTTATTGTGAAATCACTTATTCAAAGGACACGGTTCATTTATAGCCCAGAGCGGTCTAAAATATAAATCTTACAATAAAACTCCAAATAGTTCACAATTTGGTTCGTAAATTGGTCGATTTCAAATTTATTAACGCTCAATAAATCAGTTCTTTCATAATAGTACATTATATTCTCCAAATTAATAGGCCCATTTTATCCAAATATAATGATTTGGTGCAATTGTCAGACATGAAAGCTTTACGAAAATTTGGGCACCACCTACAATCCAAAATGTTTTGTAACCAAAAGATTCAAAATTTGATAAAGAATTCATCAAAATAAAAACTTTTTGGAATTGTATGGCAGCCATGGTTAATTATGCAAAAAACATATAAATTTCAGACAAAATTGACCAAAAATACAAATAATGTATAATTATGGGGTCATAGCTTCAAGATAGTTAATAGTAGGTGCCAAAATAGTATATTTTAGTCTTAATAGAATTATCACTAACATTTCTATTTATTTGAAATTTGTAATTGCTTGACCAATTTAGGGCCATTCTAACCCTTTGTGAACCTCTCTTTTCCTATAATACGTTGTAAATTTCTATTTGATATTCCTTAAAATATCCACATATACCAAAATACGTTTTTTTTTAATTTTACATTTAACGAGAAACATTTTACATGATCCCATATATTTGATTTAATCCAGTTATATATATGCTAAGCATACAGTTATAATGACTTTCAAATGTAGGGCTATATTATATGAACAGAATTTAGCATTTTATTATTTATTTATCATTTCTGTTATGTTTTCAAATCATTTATCTGTATGCTGAGCAAGCATTTGTATAGTCTCTTAATATTCAAAAATGGATTAAAAGGATCACATGTGTTACAATCAAACTTTGGATTGACCATGAGATAACTTTAAAAAATGTCATAACTGGTATATATAAACATTTTGATTTATTATTGCATTATCCATTGAATTCATGCTATTTCCATTTAATACAGTTCAATAGACTATCTATCATATTATTAATAGTAAAAAATGCCAAAACTATAAATATATACATTGGACTAACATATATACATTATTCATAAAAATTAATCATTTATCAAACTTCAAAAAGTTCATCACATTGCATAGCATATACATGTATACATGTAGTTGTACATTACTCTAAACTATATATAACAGTAAATAATTTGGGAATGTATCAGTGGTACTTTCTTGCATATTATGTTACTATGGGACACGTCTCTAGAATAGTGAAAGAATCACCATCCAATTTTGCGTTTGATTATTTTTTTGGTGGGAATGAGCACTTTAAAATAAATAATGTTTTGTATTACATTTGTCTGCGGCAAATAAGAGTTTGAAATATTATTAAAATAGTAAAAATATTTCCACATATAAATGGAAATATAACTATAATGATAAGAGGGACACAATCCAAATTTTAAATTTATGTTGGTTTTTTTGGTGATAATAAACATTGTTTATATATTTAATAACATTCAGTTGAGCCATATTAATATTATAGAACGGAAATCAATTTCGTGATGAACAGAGACTTACATACAGACAGACAACGGTAACATTGACTGCCCCCATTGGCTTAGCAAAAAGGGCATTAACATTGTAATGACTAGTATAGATGCATTGGGAATGAGAACAGCATTATTCATGCATTGACAATCTTGTCTACATATATATATCCAAACAGTAGTTCATAGCATACAGTTTTAGTTAAAAAATCTATAAAATATCATTAAAAGATAACATAACATATCCAAACATTTAGCTAAGATGTCATTGCATTATATTTGCCTTTAACAATATATTCATGATCTAATCTTTTTTGTATTCTTAATACCATATGTTTAGCATATGTCAATATAAAATTTAGAATGGAAATGGGGAATGTGTCAAAGCGACAATAACCCGACCATAGAGCAGACAACAATAGCTTTTAATCTGTTATAATAAATAATATAATTTGGATAAACATATCATTATCCATAAACTTATCAAACATGTTTATATTTACAAACAGTACATCACATTTCATGTCATACAGTTCTAATTAAGTCTGATATAACATTAAATATACGTCACTACTAGAATATATACATTAGGACTAAGCATTGCATTATTCATGCATTTACCATAACTCAACCTCAGAACTATTTAATAATAGTAATAGATGGCACATAATCATTGGATTAATAGTTCATTGCACCATTTATGCCTTAAACAATATTTCCTTAAACTGGTCTCTATTTGTTCTCTTCACATCATTACACATATACATATATCTATATAGCTTTTTAATCTGTTACAATAAATATTGGCATTGTTATGTTAACAACCATATTATAACCATATAAGTCTTGTTTTGGAACTAATCATGTATGGCATCCTTATAAAATGTAATGAATTTTAAATGCAATAACTTATCAACTATATAATAAATATTTAGTTGCTTCCATACTGGGTTCAACTGTTTGCAATAGGAATGTATCTGTATTTTTTTTTATAACAATATAACAATAAAGCTGCACTCAACCTGGCACAAGTGTCAATAATGGAGGACTTGCAAGCAATTAGGAAACAATGTTAATGTATTTTATTGAAACTTGGCAATAATATATATATGTGTTTACTCCTCATGTAGCTATTTATATCTTTTCCTATTTTGTCTTCAAGTGCACGTAATTTATACAGACACTCAATTGCACGTAATTCATAGCAGTATTTATCTTTCATGCACTTATAAATAGGTATAATTTTGTACTGTTATTTTTGAACATGCATATTAGTAACTTAGTTATTAGTAATGAATATGTGTTTTCTTATACTTCAAAATGTTTGATCCTTACATTGTCTATATTAATATGTATTTTTTTATTTGTAAAAATTTGCAATTGCACAAAAATGGCCCTATATTTATGAATATTTGTAGTATCACAGATATTTATAATGTTATCACAGACGACTTATCATTTGATTAGCAGCTATTATATTTTTCTTCCACAACTATCACGAATATTCATAAAAGAGAAATTTTACATTTAATAAGTATTGCATTGATATATACCAAAATACTATTACAAAGCTCTCGGGAAGTCAGAATTGTTACAGGTTAAGATTTGAACATTCTTCATAACCTTGTAAAGTTGGGAAATTGAAAAATGTCATCATTCCAGTTGTTTTAATGGGAACTGAAACAATTTGTGTTCTATCATTAACATTCTTTGTCCTTATTATTACAACTAATGAAGCAGCACTATTTCAAAACAATTGTCATTAAAATACCATATACTTTAAAATTCATCATTGAAAATGGTACATATAGAGATAATTATTGTTATAATAAAACTGGGACTTTTCAGTAAAATTTCGTAAAATGTCTTGATCATGTTGATGCAATAAAAGTTGTAAAATGTATTGATTATGTTGATGAAGTTATATTTGTATAATGTCTGTTGCAACACCGGAAACTTCTGTTATTTTAACTGTTATTGGCATTGTTCTGTCAAGAACAGCCTCTGGCATATCTTCCTCAAAACAAATCCTCAGAATTGTCCTTGCCACCTTTATGTCTATCACATTTTCTGCTTCTAAGCAATTCAGAATTAAGCATTCTTCATCTGATTCGTACCCTATCACCTCACAAATATGGTTTTTTCTGGTGGAGATATGTCTATCTGTAAATTGAATTAAATTTCATTAGTTTTAAAATACATGGAACATTTTGCACTGCTAAAATTTTATTTGAAATGGTACATTTTGTATTATAATAGTTATTTGTTATAACACTTACACTTATTGGTTTGAAAACCATTCCTTTTGTCTTATTACATTTACTACCTTTCATTTCATCTTAATATAGACAAGCATATTAGTACATGTAGTATTGTAATTGTGAGATATAATTAATAATTCTTGTCTATATATTCTTCCGCATTTAGCTCATATTATCAGTGTGTGGTCTTTTTAATGTGTCCGCATCTCAATGTTTTTATTAAACATTTCAAATATCATAATTGCATAAATAATAGTAGATGTTGGTATACTTTAACAGTAAAATCAAGCAATTTTCAACTATTCAATGATAATCATCCTGCTAATTAATATTTTTTTTGTTAATTATATTTAAACTCGGAAATGGGGAGTGTTTTGGAGAGACAACAACCCGATGAGAGAGCAAACAACACCCATTGGCCACCAATGTGTGTACAATACTGAGAGAAGTTTCAGCACCAGACAGTACTTTAGTTGGCTGCTAAACAATAATGTGTACTAATTCAGTGATAATGGATGTCATTTTATAAACTCCGAAATATACACATAGAGCTTAAATCTAAAATCCTACATGACTAACAAAGATCAGTGGCTCCTGACTTGGGATATAGGTGGACAGTTAATATAGGAATGCAGATGTGGTATGATTGCCAATGAGACAAGTCTCCATAAGAGACCAATATGACACAGAAATTAACAGCCTTCTATAATTAGCATAGCCCATACCCCATAGTCAGCTTTATAGGGCCCCATAATGAGAGTTTACACTATAGATATTTTCAATAATATATATAGATGTATTTTATATAATTATAGCCTATCCTTAGTTTGGTGAACTCACACTTTTCCTTACTGTTGACATTTTAATGGCTAACAACCTATAACCAGCAAATGGCATGGCCTGTACAATGTATTTTTGTAACTTACTATTATGTTTGTTCTAGTAGTTGTATTTCCGACATTGCTGCCAATATACTTTTTGATGGCAATGTTCTCTATCTGGACAAACTTCCCAATGGCAACTTCTTCATTCGCGCTGTGTTGCCGCCACAAGCTAACAATCATCTTTTTGCCATCTTCTTCAATTGTAATTTCTTTAATCGGGACATCACCCATAACAACTTTCACCATTGCTTCCTGTAATAATATATTGGTTTATTCAGAAAAACCATGTATATAACAATATATACACATGTATATAAGATTCATTTTGTTACATCTTGTGATTATTTTATTTGGCAATCGTCAATGGCAGCCAGCAGGATTTAAGAAAACTAGTTGTTGACTTGTTAGTCAAATACAATTTGTTAAAATATACTTTCTCACTTTTTAGAAAATGTTGTTTGTGCGTTACTATAATCCTCTACATCAAAATTTGTTTGACATGCACACATATAAAAATTGCAGTTTTTATTCAACGCAATCATATGTTTGAACACATCATCATAAGTCTAGAATCTGATGTTCATTGGTTATCGTTTGTTTATTTGTGTTCATATGCTTCTTATTTCTATATAGATAAGGTTGTGGTTTTCCTGTTTGAATAGTTTTACACTAGTAATTTTTTGGGCCCTCTTTAGCTTGCTGTTCGGTGTGAGTCATAGCTCCTTGTTGGCCTTACCTTGAATTATAATGGTTTACTATTATAAATTGGTACTTGGATGAAGTGTTAACTCTATGGCACTCATAACAAATCTTTATATATCTGAGTATTAATATTTTGGACGCTTTGGACTATACTATTGAGTAATTTGATATGGGGATTAAACTATAAAATTCAGTTAGATTAAGCATAACCAAGAACTGATATATATCATTTTTTATCGAAACAATTTACATAGTTTGGGTCATTAACCCCAAATTTAATGATTAATCCTGGTTTCTTTATATGATATTGAACCTTTTGTATAATTTTAAATAAAGACCCATACTTTCATAAATTTCTGTACACTGATTATTGTGTTGAAACTGAAAAATTTCTTGTTTTTGGTCCTATATTCCTAAACTGTTGGAACCATAACGCCAAGAATTACCCTAGAGTTCCTTTTATGGTATCGAATACAGGCGATCCATTTACTCATTAGATTATACTACAGTTATTGTCTGCAAGTGGGATGTACACAGAGTACAACAGCGAGGAAGTGCCAATAAATAAACACATATTTTTGATGATTGTAATATCAGATTATATTTAGATAGAAACTCACAACATACCTCTACAATTAGTCCTTTTGTTGATAGCATGCTACCAACTGGCATTGTGAGTGCTTCCTTTATATTCACAAACGGTGATGTAGGAGGGTATATTAATTCTCTGGCATGCCTTTCTCTTTCTCTGTCCACCATCACCTCACTTGTATTAGACACTTTGGACTTGGTGTTAACCATTACACTGCCATTACTGACAGTGTAATTCCTTAGGAGGATTGACTTCCCTTCCTCCATTTTATCAGCCAATGATACGTCATATAGGGCAGCCTTTTTTATACCAGTACTGTCAGCCATTGACATTGTCATGTATTTGTTACCAGCTTTGGAGGTCATCTGCTGACTCCTGGCTACTATTTTAACTTTTATTGGTGACGTGAATGGTGCAGACCTCTCCGTCAGCTTTTCCAATGTGTTCATCTGAAATGAAAAGGACTCTTTATTGCTTGGTATACGATACATGTAGTACATTATTTATTTAAAATTATGTTCAATTGCTGTACTTCTGATATTTCTTTGTTAAGAGATGTACAGTGCTCACTTTAACATGCATCATTTAACATATTTACACTTTTGGTATGAATACGGTCTAAAAATGACCTTTTGACATATTCTTCAATATTTTATATTCATTCTGCAGTCGCACATTTGGAATTTTGATGCAACATTTTCAGAAACTTGTGCAGTTTTCAGTAATGGTTGACAAATTTGCATACATGTAAATATCATTATTTAATATGGGCATTAGTTCTATACATTAAAATCACTATATTAGGGATGTTTCTTGTCATTATATTAGATATAATGGTCACAGTGGCAGAGATCTTTTTATATGGGGAAGAGGGACCTTAGTTCGGGCCCACACTAGTCATTCCCAATATATATATATATTAATTATAAGCAACTTTTTGTTTTGCTACTCTACAGGGACCCGGGTTATATTGTTACATGTAAATTTGTGTATACTTACATTTTTTTTTAATTGTTGCAATTCTTAGCACTGTGAATAACACAGTCTGCTGAGGATATGTTTGGCAAATGTGTGGATGAACCACACATATTCTTACATTAGAATTCAAGAAAATATATAGAACAGGAGGATTTTTATAACTTCTCATCAATTTTCATATTTCCAGATTAGAGAAATTCATTTTTTATACAGATTAATTACGGAGTACTGATAGATTTTAATCGTGGGAATGTCCTCTTATAATTAGCTGTTTAATAGTTTAAATATAGAAATTTCTGATTTCAAGCATTGATGTAGTCATTAAAATCCAGTTTGTTACTATGGCTTGGAATTTATTATATGATCATTCCTGATTATTAGAAAATTATCTTATTTTGATTTATTTCAATTTACTCTTAATTGTTACATTTACCACAAAGATGATGTTTCACACTGGCATGTATACATAGCAAGTAATTGTTGATGGGTAGCATCCTTAGAACAGTATGTAGATAATTGTTATTACATGTGCAGAGTCATTCAACATTGTTTAGGATGGAGTTCAAATATAGTTTGAAAAAAATTGGCTTGTGATCTGAATAGTAGCTTTCAAGAGTTCCATATGTTATATCACTGCTACATATATCTATGTTGGTATATATGTGGTCTAATATTGTACCATAGTCAGTGGTAAAGCTCGTCATTAGTTGAGAAAATCCTAGCTGTCTGCCAAAATATGATAAAAACGACTGTTTCAGATTATCTACATTGAAGTCACCCATAATGAATACCTTGCTGTCTAATCCTGCTTCATGGTAAAGTTGAGTGAAAAGGGCAACCAGTCTCTCTTTTGTAGATATGGTCGGAGAACAATATATAAAATAGCAGTATATTTTTCCCTCAGACATGTCTAATATAAATGTGACAACTTCAATACCAAGTAACAATCGGTAAGAGCATTCATTACTTGGTAAATATGATTTTTTAAACAGTATCATACCATAATGTGGTCTACTATTATCAGACATCATATAGTCATACCGAACAGTTGTAAACCCATCCAAGCTGAACTTGTCATCTGCATCATTTTTTGTTAATCTTGTTTCAGACAATACAAGTACATCAACATTTTTCATATCATATTCATGTTGTAAGTCATCCATATGCAAATGTAATGACCTAGTATTGTGGTAAGCTACAGTAAAATTTTCTCTATCATCTTGACTTAAATTTGGGATGGACAATGGCAAATGTATGCTTCGTAGTCTTTCCATTTCTATCTGTACATCAATTGATGTTGATATTTTTTCCTCATTTAAATTCAAAATGATGACTTTAGACATATTTTGAACTCTACTTAAACCAACATAATGTATATGATCAGTTTTTCTAGTACCAAAGTCTATTACAGCACCTTCAGGCATTGTTGCACCCTGAGATTTGTGGATAGTTTTTGCTGCTGCTAAATGCAGAGGGAACTGTCTTCTTACAATCTGGTAAGTTTTGAAGTACTGGATAGAAAATTTCCTGGTTACTTCTAAAATAGGTGTCCAATCTTTTGATATATGAGGTAGATATAGATGTCTGAATTGATTTCTGCATTTCTTACCAATATTTTTATCATTGAACTCAACCCAGACTATACTGCATCTTTCTGAACCTTCTACTCTGTAATCAAATTTTCTCACTAAACATGAAGCCCCGTTTGTTAACCCATCTTAAACGTCAATATTTACGCACACCTCTGCAGGTATGTTCTCAGCAAGAAATAAGGTGCTTTCTATTCCCATTGTTTTTGAACTATCATTTGGAATTCTATCCAATATTTTTTGAGATATCTCAATTGTCATATCCCACAAACTGAATCAACAGCTTTAACCTTACACTTAGCATTGTTTGTTTCACAATAGATCTTTTCATTGTATGCAAATACTTCTCTCCTGGTTGTAAACAAATGTGGCAAAGATTCATCTGCTAATGGTCTCCTAGGGTCCTTGTTATTTACAGCCCTTTTTTTAATCATCCTAAGATCATCATTAGTGTGATTACCTTCCCTTAATCTGTTCAAAAATTCTGCGAAAATCTTGTCATCTTTCTGACGCATTATAGTTTGAAGTTCATACATAAGGAAGTAATCGATCCATAGATTTGATCCCAAAGGTCCGTAACCTGCTTTAATATCTAAGAAAATCCAACCATCCATTACTGGCTTCAACTGATATAGATCACCTATGGCAATTATACTAACACCTCCAAATGCCCTTAAATTACCTTTTACCTCCTGTAGTCTCATATTGATGTAGTTAAACATTCGATTTCCTACCATTGATATTTCATCTATGAAAACAACTGATAAGGCAGCATATTTGCTCCTTAGAGTATTAAGCTGTTGCATATCTAAGGGTTTATATGACAAGCTCTGATTAGCCGGTATATGGAAGGCTGAGTGAAGTGTATTGCCACCTATGTTATGGGCAGCCTTTCCAGTTGGAGCACACATTAAAATTCTCACATCATCCGGACAACTGTCAATTTAATGGGAAAAAAACCTATATAATGCTTGGTACATAGCCCTGGTTGTTACAGATTTTCCAACACCAGCCCCACCTGATAGAAATGCATACAAAGGCTCATCTGTATTGGCCTTAAACCAATGTAAAATATGGTAAAATATACACTTTTGTTCCTTGTTTAAGGATCTGATTGTTTCTCTATATTTGCTTTCAGGTAATAATGCCTCTGAAACAACGTTAACACCTACTACTGATTTTCTTATGCCCAAATCTATTCCCAAGTCATACGAATGATGCAGTGATTTATCATCTGGATTAAAACACCCATATTTTGCACTTATTTCAGTTTGATCTATATCATCAGTGCTGCTGTCTATAGCATCATCATCATCAAGGGATACATTTTCATCAATATTATTTAATGGAGCAACTCTCTCATACAGTGCCTGTTTTGTGCTTATATGAGATTGAACATTTGTGTAATGTTCTTCATATGTAGAAAATGTAGCCATTAAATCAATATTCTCATCATGCCACGGTAAAAATAGCATAAGTTTTTCTCTAAAATGATTTTCCCTATCAATGTCTATGTTAAACCTAACATATCTTATTACCTTCTCAAATTTCCTTTTTACCAATTTTAGCCCATTTTTCAACTCTATTTCTTTAGGTAGCTGATTAGTGAGGGTAATATTAGATGATTCAGCATCGGATGTGTTACTATCAAATTGTTCAGATCTATTACTAGTATCATTAGGATCTGTTGTAATGGTTCTTTCTACCTGTATGTCGGACATTTCTACAGAATCGTCATTTTCTGGATTTTCACTGTCTAAATTGAAGTCTTGATCTATATTACATTTTTTCTTGTAATTTCTAATTTCAAACCAAGCTACATAGTCTGCAAGGCAGACATTTTCAAGGACTTTTGTGTACTGTTTCAATATATTGTCAGTTTCAATATCTGTACTGTTTTTTGCTATCTTTTCAAGAACATCATTTGGTTTCAATAGAACTGTCCTCTCTTCTGGAGGTGATGTATTGATAAATTTCACTGCCCTTGAACTCTTACGTAGGGGTATTTGGAGCAATAGATATACTGCCTCTTGAGCACCTATTTCCACATGAGTAAGAAATTTATTACAGACTGATCGCACCTGGTCCCTTACACCACTTGCTCTGTCCTTGGCTTCTCGACTTGCATCAGATAGTAAATTTGACATACCCCTTTGACCTTTAGATATATATGAAACAATGTAACTCACACAGGAAAATGCATCTATAATAAATTGGATGTCCATGTTAGCTTCCCAGCTTTCCAATAACACCTTATTGTAAGAATTAATACGTATTTCAGCCAAACGTCTCTTAAGGAAAAACTTTTGTAGTGGCCAATCCACTGCGTACAGCAAGTATATATGAATCGAAATTCAACTCCAATTTGGATAGGAATTCTTCAAATGTACATTCTTCTCCTTGTTTTGCATTATTCAAAGCATCATTGATTTTAACCAAATTAAGCTTTGCCTGCTTACTTCTATCAGTTGCACACAAAGGAGTCAAAATCATAGTCTTTGGCATTGGTGGTAATGGGTACCCAAATCTACATATAGCTTTTCCCTTCTTTCTACAAGTCTTAGCATGCCGGTGTGATTGGTAATTTATTAGATCAGGATTAGCGCCATCTTTCTGACAAGATATATATTTATCAATAAAATCAGTAATCTCATTGCTTTGACTGTACTCTGGTGAAAAAGTAGGTGCATTGGCAATCCATAGAAGCATATGAATATGAGGTGAACCCCGATGCTGGAATTCAACACGATAAAAGAAGTCCCTAATTTCTCCAACAGGATGAGATGAATGCTTCAAAACCATGTTTATAAATTTTTGCACTTTATAATCAAAATACCTGACACATGTCACAGGATCACTCTTAATTAACCTACATTTATCTTGCCATGATAAATTATTTACCTCTTCATCTGACAATTCCTTATTATCGGAGAGTTTAGACAGGAGAGGAACCCATTTTATCTCTGCTGCAGAAAATGATAAGAAAAGAGTTGGAAGCCCAAGCTGCCTTATCATACCAAATATATCCTTTTTAGCTTGCTCC